CTGGTGTGGGAGGGCTGGGGGTTGGTGTGGGCGTGGCTGGGGGTTGGTGTGGGCGTGGCCAAGCACCTTCCTTGACCGCATGTGTTTCTCTCTGCACAGTGGGAGACTCCTACGTGGTCAGCTACACAGCCGCGCTGCAGGAAGACCTCAGGAATGGGGAGAGCCGGGTGCTTCCTGCCCAGCTCACTTTTCAGAGCTCCTCACCGGTATTTCCTTTATTGCTTTGATCTCGGTCTTGTCTCTGCTGCGGGGGCTGTTTACAAACACTGACCCTTAGCACCCCAGATCTGCTCGTTCGTTCCTTCGGCCATTCCGCACCGTCACCGGGGCCTTGGAGTCCAACACACAGCCATGAGCCTGGCCCCCTGAGTCACGCTGCTGTGGCCTTGGGTAAGCTGCTTAACCCCCTGGGCCTGACACAGGGTTACTGTAAGGATAAGTAACCGCTACATGTTGGTTCCCTTCGCTGTGTCCTGCGCGTTATAAGCACCCAACCAGTGCTACCGTTGCTTTTCATCTTCCAAGGCTGTCACCGCAAGGCGCCGCAGACCGGGGGCTGAAGAGCCCCAGGGTCTTCTTGTCTCACAGTCCTGGAGGCTGGATCAGGGTGTCAGCAGGGTCGGTTCCTCCCCGGCATCTCCTTGGCTTGCAGATGGCCGTTTTCCCCCCGTGTCCCCCAGGGTTGTCCCTCTCTTTGTGTCTGTGCCCTGGTTTCCCCGTCTCATAGGGCACCAGCCATGTAGGACCGGAACCCACACTGCTGAAACCGTTTTACCTCGATTACCTCCTTCCTGGCCCTCTCTCCAAATCCAGTCACAGTCTGGGACGCTGGGGGCTAGGACTTGGCCTATCGCAGCAGCCCAGTTAGTCTCTCCGGTCCTCACCTCTTCGGGAGTCCGCTCATGCGGTGAATGCCGACTGTTTGCCGGTCCTGGGCCAAGCTGCAGCCCCAGGGGACAGGCTGGGGGAGACGAGGTCCTTGTCTTCAAGGAGCTCACGATGCTCTCGCTTCTTCCGGCGTTTTATTCTGACTTTAGCCTCTGGAGGGAGTCCCTTCTCACAGATGTGGAAGTTGTGGTTGGGGCTCAGAGCATGACTGTAATTGCCCCAGGTCACGTGACAGAGTCCACAGCTGCTCGAGGGGCTCCCTTCTTCCCCGAGGCTGCAGGGCCTGTGCCTCCTTCCTGCGGCGACAAGAAGAAAAGCCTTAGGTACCTTTTAGATAAAATGAAAGGTGCTGAAAAGGTAAAGGCCAGATATCAGGAAACTATCCAAGATTGTTGGAAATGACAAATCTCTCAGAAAATAATTAGGTATAAAGCCAAAAAATAGAGGCAAAGAGAGATTTTTAAAAATAGGATAGCATTTCCCAGAAGAAATACCATCAACCGTTTCAAAGGACAGGAAACCAAGTCAGTGAAAAATCAGAATTTAAGGTAAGGCGAGAGTCGGAAAGCGAGTCAGAAACTCAGAATAAAATGTGACCGAAGCGTCCATCTCCAGACAGGCGTGTCAGGAGCTCAAGCCAGGGTGGCTGTGATGCCTCGCGGTCCCGGTGTGCCCAGGCAGCGCTGGCTGGGCCAGCAGGAAGTGCATGGGCTCCCACGTGGCCTTCCTCGCCCTGCCATGGCCTGACATAGTCCAGTGTTTCTTTACCTGGTTCCTTGTCTGTGATATTAACTCTGTCCAGCTCCCTGAGGCCAGGGACCTCATCTCTCCTCTTCACAGCTATGTCCCCGGGGCCAAAAAAGAAAGCCCAGCACACAATAGGTGCTCAGTAAGTGTTTGTTGAATGAATGAATGAACACATCAGTGAACAATGATGAACAAGGAACAATGACCTTGGGCAGTTTTAAAAAAATTTCTTTAAGCCTCAGTTTTCTCATCTGTAAACAGGAGAGAGTTCTATCAAATTATATATAATAATATAATGTATAATATAATATAGTATTTGACCTTCGGTTTCCTTCCTTTTTTAAGCCTTTGGAGCTCTCTGGACAAGTCTGTGGACAGAGAAGAAAGTGCAGAGAGCAGGGTCCACCTGCTCACGGGAAGATTCTGGAGCTCCAAGCCTCCCTGGCTTCAGCTCCTGCCTTCCTGCTCTGTTAGACTATTAGCACTGCCCCTCCCCAGGCCCTGCCATAGGAGGCTCTCAGTCAATATTTGTTGAGTGAATAAGTGTCAGAAGTAGACCCTGGCAAGGGACTCCTGTGTCTAGTTCTTAAATTGTTTCATCCGTTGGACTTGGAAGTCCCTCTGAGTGACTCCTGGGCTTTCATAAATAACATCAAGGAGGTCGATGTGGGTTGGGAGCCAAAAATGATCTGACCCAGAGTCTGAGCGAGACTTACATCAACTCCACGTGGGAACACCAGTTTCCTCTGCTTGCTGTTTGGTCGTACACAAGTCTTACACTGCAAGTGGGAAGGTAAAGGCGTGGTTTTAAAATAGTGCAGAGGCCGTGCCTGACGTTTCAGTGGCTGGGAATCCCCACCCCAGCTGTGTTTTCAGGAGCAGTCCACCTTCTCTGGGCTTCAGTTTTCCCACCTGAAAAATGAAGGGACTCCCCCAAATCTTTGCTAGTTCTGCCATTTTAGAACCGTGTGCAAATAAGAGAGGAGGCAATAAAAACAAGTACCGCTTGTTAAGAGGCTACTTCTGTGCCAGGCACATGTCGTTGTCATGGCCAGAGACAGGTACTGTCACAACTGCGTTACTTTTGGGTCTGGGACCTACACACACACACACACACACACACACACACACACACACAGCCACCATATCTGTGTGGGTTGGGTCAGATAGTACCTAGATGAAGGCAGGTCAAGAGGGAAAAGCTGGAGCACTCATCTCACGTTCTTGATGACACATATAGGAATTTTATGCCACCTTATAAATCCGTCACTCTATCCCACTTGGCTGCCTTCACCATGCTAGGGTCTAAAGCCTGCTTCTTAGGCCTTGACGTTCATGTAGTAAAGACATCCCTACCGACGTAGAGACTTAAGGCACTGAAGACCAGCTCCACAGCACACGTGATACTCCTCTCTGCTTAGACCTTGGGGTCAGAAAGCGCAGAAAGCGGGGACCTCGAGGGCGGGAAGAGACAGCAAGATGTGATCGACATGGGCCTGAGTTTAGCCTCGGACATCGTGCTGGGGAGACCCTGAAACTCGCTGTCGCCGTGCGTGTGTCAAAGCAGAGGCAATACAAGGACAGAAAGGGCCATACGAGTGCTTCGCAGTCCTCTCTTCTTTAACAACTTGTTCTGGAAATGTCCCCTAGCCTCCCGAGAAAGAGGACTGGCGGCATTTTGGTCTCCTCGGAAGCCTCCGTCAGATGGCCCTGCTGGCCTACAAAGGAGGTGGGATGCCTCCGTGCTCCCAAGTGCTGATGCAGAGCAGAGGTCAGGGGAGTTCCGACCTTGGGAGGCCCGTAGCTCAGACTGGAGAGAACAGTGCCTCCATGGCATCCGTGATGAGTGTCCGGGGGCTGCTTAGCTCACTGCACTCGGAGCTGCCAGTCCCAAGGCCAGGGGTAGTATGCAACGATACAACTCTGACGACCGCTGCTGCTGCTACTCACTGCCACCAACAGCAGTAAGATTCTACGCACTCTGTGTGCCTGGCACTCTTCCAGGTTGTGTGCGACCTCATTTAACCCTCATAGCAGCTGTGTGGGTTGAGTGTGGTTCCATTTCGCAGATGAGAAAACTGAGGCACAGAGAGGTTGCTCGAGGTCCTGCTGCTGGTGAGCGATGGAGCCGGGTCTGATGGCAGGCAGCCTGGCTCTAACCACCACCCTGTGCTGCCTTTTAGTTGCAAGCTGTTCTGCCTCTGCCTCCAGGAAGGACGTCCTCATGGTGGGTCTTCTCAGACACCACGTGGCTGGACACCTAGTTATAGCACTCGCCCTGGACGTGTCTGTTTCCCGTATCTTCGCGGCAGAGAAGTGTGAGAGGGCATTAGAGACTCTAAGGGAGCAGGGCTGGGGGCGTGTGGAGAAGGAGAGGTGAGCGTGAGCCGTCCCATCAGAGCCCAGGATTCTGTCCGCCCTTGCGGAGGAGGCAGACACTGGGAGAACGGGAGGCGCCTGCCCATGGCACACGCCGGCGGGCCACGGAGCCCACACCCGACACCGAGCCTTTTGACAGAAGATCATACTACCCCGCCTTGCCTAGCTATTAGGGTTGGTGTTTGGGTTTCTCACAGGCTTTGGAAGAGAAGGAGGAATCAGACCCTTCCCCCACAGGTGACACCATTGCAGGATCGGACCCACCCAGCAACCGGGGGCCGATGGTAGCTCTAGGCATGGTGGGTTGGAAACAGCACCACATGCTACCCCATGTGCCAGACTTTCAGAACCGTTGACTAGAGCGTTTTCTTTTTCCTTTTTCTAGAACAGAACACTGCTGAAAGCTGCTTTTACCATCACAGCAGAAGAAAAGATAACGGTGAGAGAAACTGTATGACCTGGGCACCCCTCCCTGCCTCATGCTTGTGTGTCTTTTGACACCTGTGCTGGGTCGGTCTCCTACCTGTCATTGGAGCCAACAAGAGGGGCCGGTCGCTGGTCTTGGCTCGCCAGGTGTGCGCTGGGGCTGCAGACTCCATGCAGGCTCTTGGATCCCCCTGTGTGGCCTGAAGTTGTCTGGCTGGTTTCCCCAGAGACCCTCCACCTGGGCAAGACAGGTCGGTCACTGCACAGACAGACTTAGGCTCCACTACCCACCTGGGCCCCAGTTCAGCTGTTCCCCACTTGCCTCTGATGTTTGTCACCAGGTCCAGTTGCTGGTGACATTTTGCCTTCCCGGGTCTTCCCGAATGCTGCAGTCCGTGGTCAGGTCCCTCCTGTCTTCTGATGTTCACCATGACGACTTTGCCATTTTTATTCACCAATTCGGTCGTTTGCAGCTCATGCAGTCACTCAATTGTATATTTGTCAAGAGTTCATTCACGGTGAAACAACACTTCAACACTTCTAAAGCACCTACTGAGTGCCAGGCATTCTAATGCCGAACCACGTAATCTTCACCAGAGTCTTGTGAGACAGATTCTATTCTCAAGTCATTTCCATTTCACAGAAGGGGAAAGGGAGACACATTAAGGATGAGTCATTTGCCTGTGATCCCATGTCTAGAATGTCGGGGTCTCTCAGACCACCCCTGGCTTGGCGAGTCTTTAGGACGACTCGTGGCACCTGCCTCTGTGGTGCCACATAATAACGTTCTGGTCAGTGATAGCCTGTGTGTTATGCTGGCGATCCCGTCAGATGATCGTGGAGCTGAACAGTTCCTGTCACCCAGTGATACTGTAGGCAACGCGACATTGCAGGGCAGTGCTTTCCTCACCTGTGTGATGGCGCTGGTGCACACACACCTCCTGAACTGCCTGTCATCTAAAAGTCTAGCACATTCAATGTGTACGATCTATAATACTCGGTGATGATGATAAAAAAACCCTCAGGAGACGTTCCAGAAGAAGGTGTTGTCATCCCAGGAGAAGACAGCTCCATGCATGTTTTTGCCCCTGAAGACCTTCCAGTGCTACGAGATTTGGGGGTGGAAGACAGTGCGATGGATGGTCCTCACCCTGTGAAGGCCTAGGCTCGTGGGTGTGTTTGAGTTTTTGTAGAAAAACTTTAAGGAATAAAAAAAATCACCTTAGTAGAAAAAAGCTTATAGAAGGATAGAAACAAAGAAAATATTTTTGTACAGCTGTACAGTGTGTTTGTGTTTGAAGCCAAGTGCCATTGCGAAAGAGTCAAAAAGTTTAAAAAGGAAAAAGTCCTTAAAATAAAAGTTACAGAAAGCAAGGCTTCATTTATTGTTGAAGAAAGAAGAGTATTTTAAAGATAAATGCCGCGTAGCCGAAGTGACCGGGGTTTTTAAGTCTGCAGTGGCGCGTAGGCATGCCCTGGGCCTTCACATTCACTCACCGCTCACTGACCCACCCAGAGCAGCTTCCAGTCCTAACAGCGCCATTTGTGGGAAGTCCCCTTGCGGGCATACTCTGTCTTCTCTTTTTTAAAAATTTAAAAAAAAATTTTTTTCATTTCTTTTTTTTTGAGTTGGAGTCTCACTCTGTCGCCCAGACTGGAGGGCAGTGGCCGCTCCCGGCTACCGCAGCCTCGACCTGCCGGGCTCCGGCGATCCTTCCGCCTCCGCCTTCCGAGTAGCCGGAATTACAGGTGCGCGCTACCACGCCCGGCTAACTTTTTGATTTTACTGTAGAGGTGAGGTCTCGCCACGTTGCCCAGGCGGGTCTCAAACCCATGGGCTCAGGCAATCCACTCACCTCAGCCTCCCAAAGGCGCGGGATGACAGGCTGAGCCACCGAGCCCAGCTGTCTTATCTTTTATGCCTTATTTTGGCTGTACCTCCTCTGTGTTTCGATGCAGAAACACTTACCTTCGTGTTACAACTGCCGACGGGATTCAGTGTAGCGATTGCTGTACGGGCTTGTAGCCTAGGAGCAATAAGAGTGTAATCGGCTCTACCATCTAGGTGCGAGTAAGTGCCCTCCACCATGTTCGCGCAGGGATGAAATTTCCTGGCCGTGCGTTTCTTAGAACACATCTCCAGCATGAAGTGACCCACGGCGTCGTTTTACTCACAGGTGTGACTTACCACAGTGAAAAGATACAAAGCAAAATCAGCCAAGGGAAAAGGCGTGCAGGGGGAGGTTTGGATGAATCATCCTCACGCTTCCAAGAGTGCCCTCCCCGTGGAGTCACACTGGATGTGCGCTGTTCCCCCAGCAATGAGCTATGAGAACACACACCAAGTGCTGTTTACCAGGGATGCTTCTTAGGGGCTCAGTGCGGGGTTTGTATTGGCGGGCACCGTGGACACCCTCTGCCTGGCGTGTACGAAGATTCTAGACCCCCGGAAGGAAGGCAGGCTTCCACATAGACCACACTGTTTGCACAGACCGTCTGAGAACAGGGAGCCACCCTTAGCAGGAAATGTGGAACCCTACACCAGATCCATGTTCCCAGGTGCCAGCCAAGGCCCAGCCCTGCAGGCAGGCCTTTTGGAGGATGGCAGTCTCGGATTGGATGTGTTAACTCTTTCCACAGCTGGTGAGTACCAGAGCCAGGATTTGAACCCAAGCAGTTTGGCTTCAGAGTCCTGCTGTCAGGCAGTGGACCACACCCCTCTTGATGAGCCACAGTCCTGCACAGAAGAGATGTGCAGAAAGCATGAGGCTGGCCGGTGGCAAGCAGGCAGTTTAGCAGGCCAGTCAGGTACACAGGTAACTGTTCTCCCTGTTGGCCTATGAGCTCCTGGCGGATGAGGCCATGTCGCCTTCACCCATGTCACCCACTGTGCATCCCACTGCGGGTGGCCAACAAGTAAATACCCCTTGATTGAGCCCTCTGTTATCAATGATGATTGCCGCTCAATGCAGGAGGTGATTGGCCACTGCTGTGTGATTGTGACCGAGGGCAGAAGACATTCATTTATTGCATATTTATGAGCCCTTCTGTGCCCCAGGCTCTGTCATGGATGGAAGTGAGCCAGACCCAGGTCTTTGGGGCTGCCTCTCCACTCACATTGCCTCTAGGAGAAAAAGGAATAGGTGCCACCCAGGATGAAGACCCTGGGGTGTAAGGCTTGGCAGTGGAACTGGGGCTGGATTTCAGCCACAGCGGCACCTGGGCCAGGTAGCCCCAGGTTGTAGACCACGTTCAGGGAGCGCACTCGAGTGGGGAGTTGAGGCGTCCGCACGTGGGACCCTCCAGTGGTGCTGTGTGCACAGTAGACTCTTGGACTAGAAGACCTGGCATTAAATTCCTGTCCCTCTGCTGATTGCCTGTGACCTTGGGCATGCTACTTACTCTCTGGACCTCCGTTTCTCCAGTTGTTAATGACAGTAATAGTGGCATTCACCTCACAGGTGGTTACCACTGTTTTACCGACCATGGATGCTTAAGATCTCCATGCAATAGAAATTGACATGAGGCCAAGGAGATTTCCCAGACAAAGCTTTATTGGGGGCTCATGCCCCAGCACAAAGGAGACAGTGTACAAAAAAGAGTTCTCGGGGGCTGGCTTCTGGAAGGGAGCTGCTCAGGTCTTTTATTGGGCTGGTTTGCTGAGTCACTATAGGAAGAGACGTGGTCTAGATGGTGCAGGCGCACTGTCGATTGTCAAAACATGGCGGAAAAGCTCCTCCCTGGGCGGGGATTTTAGCATGGTAATGAGGCAAGGGTTATGACCAGTCATTTTCCTGGTCCTGTGCACCTGTGAGTGTAGGGGCCACCTGCTTTGGGTAAGATTTTTGGTGAAATGTGGCAGAATGTTGCTTATCTTAGTATCTTCACTGGCTAAGCTGGGTGGGACTAGATCCTACAGTTAGCAGGTATGAGGTATGGAGAGATACATTAGTGGGAATGGGGTCAAGTCCCATCCCTGCCCTGTCTCAAAGGTAAATGGATCAATACGTGTGACGCACTCAGCACAGTGCCTGGCTTTTTGTGAGTGTTCAGTAAATGTCAGCTGTTGCCATCAGCATTGTTATGCCCTACATATGAAAACAACACAGCTGTTCTGTGACTGTGGAGAATGATCGTCTTGTAGCAGGGTCTTATGCTTAGTTGCCCCTGGGGCCACATAGGTGCTATCAGTGTGTGCCAGACTCAGTGTTAGATCTCAGAGAGTAAAGGAGTGTGGACAGCCTGGGAACTCAGGTGTCCCCCCACCTGCCATCTTCACCCTCACACTGAGACTGCAAGTGAAAAAAAAAATAGACTATCAATGCACAACCATGACTGAGTTTGTGACCCGAGATATAGATTGTATGTATTGTGGATACTGACAGGAAAGAGAGAGAGCGCTCCGTGGGTTGGATAAACTGGCAGGCTTCCCGGAGAAAGAAGAATTCAGCTGGGCCTTGAAGGCACGATTCAGCTCCAGTGTGGAGGGGAGTTCTAAAATACACAGCTGAAGGCCTGACTTCAAGGTTAAGCCCGTGCTAATGTTGGTCGGTAGCGAATCAAGGGTGAGGTGCACACAAGGATGAGGGAGCAGGACTGACTTAGGCACCTGCAGAGGTGGTGGAATCATCCCAGGAAAGTGTGATCGTGTTGGATAGGAGTAGCTCACCTCATTTTTCATCAAGGAGTTAAAAAAGGTTTGAAGGTCAAGATGTGAAGTTTCCATTGTGTAAAATTGGGATTCTCTGACACTTGGAAGTTTCTTAGTTTTCTCTTACTTTCCTGAGGGTGAAACTGACACGTGTCCCCCAGAAAATGAAACCCCGAGAAAGTGCTTCCCATTTCATCTGTATATTTTAGAGCTCCCCTTCTCCACCAGAACTGAATTCTTCTTCCTCCTGGATAAGGACTGTGCTTGTGAGAGGAGAGAAGAATCACGCCATGCTGAACACTGAGTGCAGGTCTCAGACTGTGCTGGAGATCGCCTTCTGCGTTCATCACACCTGTCATGAA